TATAATGCCGAAACCACAAGCCTACTGCAGCTCTATCTCTATCGGTGGGAGGTAAAAACTCTGTGCTTCCCGTCGTCAAACGCGCCAAGCAAAGGCATACGAGAGGACCACAATCCCCTCTGGCTCCCGGCGATTGCTGTGGCGCGGTCTCGTCTCTGACAACTGTGACATTGAACTTCTTTGGCTTCTTGTGTCCAGAATGAGTCCAATAATTAATCCCATCCAAGAATTTAGCCAAATGAGAGCTCCATCCCTTGAAAATATCTCTCAAATCAGACAGTGATATGTAATTGATCATGCTGTCATACACTATTTATCTTCAGGGATGGGAGCTGAAGTTGGACGAGAAGCCAGTGACGACGTTCCAAAACAGGGATAAACACATGCAATCATAAGTAATAATTCATTTATTTGCGCACTTATTTATGAACACCTTTAAAAAATTTAAAAAATAAACACTAACCTTATCGACCTCCCACCATGCAGGATAAAGTTTAGCTTGTCCATTGCCCAACGAAAATGATTCATCTCGTTGATTCTTCAAGTGAACTGCGTGAAAAGCCGCCAGCATTATTGTATATAGCGAATTTTTTTATTTTTTCCTAAGCTTCCTTATTATTAGTAGACGTGACACCCACACATCGATATGTTGTTTTACAAAAAAATACATATATTAGTGAATTACATTATTTTTTAAACAAATTAATCAAAATCATATATAAGACAAATATAAGACTTACCTCCCCATCCAAATAGCCACTGTCTTCAACCCCTAATAGCACACCCCACCAAGACCGATCAAGCAACAAAAACATTTCATCGTTGAGTTTGCTGATGTCAGTGTAACACCCTTGGCTCCGCTCATGTAGATAAAAATCAACTGCGGTCTTAGCCCAAAGGCTATTATCCACAATTGTTTCCGGTAGTTGTCTCCTCTCCACTTCAGATACCGGAAGGGTACTAGCCGATAACTCATACGAGAGCCAACTCTCATCCATCATGTCCGGAACCGGTGGGGGTTTCTCAATACTTCGATATATTACCCCATGTGAATCGGGCTCTGGAATGGTGGAAGGGACCTCTTCAATGATGACAGTGGCCTCTTGAACGGTGGGGGGGGAATCTTGAGGGAGGATAGGGGCCTCTTGAACGATTGGAGGGGACTCTTAAGGGATGACCGGTGAGTCGGGCTTCTTCTTGCGGAGTCTTCGCACCATTGGGGTGAACGAAGACGTAATAGCACGTCCACACCGTCTGATGCGTAAACTCTGTCGTGCAAGGAAAACCCGACGTAAAGCATCCACCTTATCGGGCCGCTAAAAAAAATTAATACATAAATAAGTAAATAAACAGACATGATATTAAACAAAGACAAATATGTTTCAAACTAGCATTGTATTCACCCAAGTCATTATTCTATCATAGTTCACAAAATGCTCAGATAACATTCCAGAAGTAAGCACTTATATAAACATTTAAAAGGACAACATATATAAACATTCCATAAGAAGAATAGTTTACTTTCGCAACACGAAACTTAAAATCGCAACGCAAAAATGACTATCGCAACGCGGAAATGGCTATCGCAATGCGAAATGAAAATCGCAACGACAAAATCGCAATGCGAAATGAAATCGCAACGCGAAACACAAATCGCATTGCGATTTTCATTTCACGTTGCGATTTTGTCGTTGCGATTTCATTTCGCATTGCGATTTTGTCGTTGCGATTTTCATTTCGCATTGCGATAGCCATTTCCGCGTTGCGATAGTTATTTTCGTGTTGCGAAAGTAAACTATTCTTCTTCTGCAAATTGAAACTTGAATGGATTGCATTACTTTAACCAAAAGACAAAAACAAAACCAAAAACAAATACTAACAAAAATAGTTTAGCAGTATTGGCAGCAACCGAATGAATCACGAGTATGAAAAATCTTAAACTTACCTCGTTGCGTAGAGTATGAACCTCATTCTACAACGATGCTACCATCTCACGTAGAGCGGCTACCTCACCGCGTAATGTAGACACCTCAACACGCCATGCACCATCGTCTTTGCGTAAAGTACCGACCTCCTCACGCAAGGCATTGACCTCATCACGTAACTCCCCTAACTCATCCCGTTGAGGTGGAGGTGGAGAACAGGGAGATAAACGTCGTGGCATCTTTGCCGGTCGCCTATCTTGCGGTGATGGTGGAGAAGAGGCTCGATGATGTGACAGAATAGGTGATGGCTTTCGTTGTGGAGGTGTATAGCCGGGTCGATCAGATGATGGCTCTGGGTGAGGTGATAGCTCTGGGCGAGGTGATGGCTCCCGAAGTGGAGGCTGCTCATCAACCGTTCCATCAAAAAAACGCTTACTAGCTTGCCACCAATCAGTGGCAAGCTCAGCTTCCGTGGGTGTCAGCCTCTGTAGAGGAGTGTTGGCCTCCTAACAATATAAAAGCTCAAACAAAGTTAAACGTGTACTAGTAAACTTGTTTATAAACATATGGTAGTATTTATGTTAACTTACATTATTATTGTCATATACCGTAGTAAATCTTCCCATTGCAAGGTCCGTTTCCTCTTCTAGGAAATAGCCCTGGGAATATTATTTGAAGTTTTTATTGCATATGTCTTCATGGCGGGAAAGGCCTCAAATATCCAAATCTACAAGCAATATAATAACAAACATTAGTAATTGTTAAATAATTACTTATAATTTTGGAAACATTATATAAAAATTCTTACCTTAAAGGCCCAAATAAAGCCTGTCAAAGTGTATTTGGAACCATCGCCATGCAAACTTTTTCGATCATCCAAGGCAGACGATAACTTATTCCATGTAGCTTTCCATAAATACGAGCCCCACGGAAACAGGTTCCACGCATTTAGGTCTTCTAACAATTTGATTTGATCATTTGGAATAGGTTGTCTGGCCTCTCTGCCTAAAAAGCCGGCATGCAAAAGAATTAGAAGGCATACTCGGACAACGTCGACGTCATCCATCCGAGTAAAACCATCTTTCTTATTCAATAATATCGTCAGGTCTTCCACGTGTAGATTCGGCCTCTCCAGCTCAGGAAAAACCCGGGATAACCATGATGGGCGGGTAATGTGTCTAGTGTACCGACCTACATCATCGTGTCTGAAGCGTAGACCGGTGATTAAGCAAAACTCCTCCCGCCCAAAACATGTATACGCCGGTGGAAAATCAAACCACATCTCTTCATCACGACGTTGTATAGTATCTGGTAGATCCCTAGTCATGGTTTGAAGAAATAGGTGTGTCAACATCGCATCTCCACCGGGATGTTGTACTTTCAGCCATGGCCCGAAGCAAGTATCCTCAAACATTTTTCTTTGTGCAGGTGAAAGCTTCGACGCAATTGTTTTGGCCTGGCTGACTTTATTTCTTAAGGTTAATTGAGCCGAATAAAAGTTCTACAAAAACAATAAACATACTAAGTTAGATATACCAAAAACTACACTGTGAAGATATACCAAAAACAATAATAAACATAAAGAGTAGTAGTTTATTCTTCAAACTTAAATTTGCAACACTGTGAATTTCTTATTTGTCTTTGTTTTTTGGTTGAAGTAATGCAATTCATTCAAGTTTCAATTTGCAGAAGAAGAATAGTTTCTGAAAATGAAAATCGCAACACGAAAATGACTATCGCAACGCGAATTTGACTATCGCAACGAGATAATCGCAACGCGAAACTAAAATCGCGTTGCGATTTTCATTTCGCGTTGCGATTCTCGGTTGATTTAATAAGCAATCTAAGTGAAATGGTTAATCTATTATTGAAATTACCAGTAAACTTATCATCAATTTCAATATGAAAAACCTAATAATAATGCAAAAATTTCAAAAAGAAAATAATTAAAAAAACTAACCCTCGTTGGTTGATTTGGTTGATTTTCCATTTCTGATTGTGAGGGTGACTCTAAGAGATGGAGATAGACGGATTTCGCCGGAGATGGGGATGGATTTCGTCGGAGATGGGTGAGAGAGTGAGAGATGGAGATGGGACTGAGTTGTGATTTTAGGTTTTAGGTTATGAGTTGCGATTACGAGATATACTGTGGATGGTTCAGTGTTCCAATATATTAATATTCGTGTTTGGAATTTAAAAATAAAATACTTGGCCAGGATACTAATGGCGCTTTGAAAATCGCATTGCGATTATGTATTATCGCGTTGCGAAAGTCAGAATCGCGTTGCGAAAGTCAGTATCTCGTTGCGATTTTGTATTATCGCATTGCGATAGTAAGTATCGCATTGCGATAGTCAGTATCGCATTGCGATTTTCCCAATTCGCGTTGCGATTTAGTTATTCGCATTGCGAATTGGGAAAATCGCAACGACACTGTAGACCATCGCAACGCGATTTTCAACTATCGCAACGCGAAATGCAACGCGGATTTGCGATAATGGAGATCGCGTTGCGAATTAGCGATCGCATTGCGATTTTGTTGGTCATTTTGGCAAATCCGAAAAAAATTGGTTAAAATCGTATATTATATGGGAATTTTGGTCACTGAGGCGATTTTCTCTAAAATATAACTGAAAACATTAATAAAATAACTCGTATATCGTAAAGTGATAAAAATAATTCAATTATTCAATTGAAAAATTTTAAAGCTTAGCGAGTAAAATAAAAAAAAATAAATAAAGCTCAATTACTATATTTAACTATTATATTTTACATGAGAGATGCAGGAAAGACCATGATAAAACATCAAGACAAGCGTAAAGACTTCTCTACATATTAAACGTCATGTTAGAGCTAGACTTTTGAATTACAATAAATTTATATATTCCAATTCTTTGCTACTTTCTAAATGCGCAAAGGTGATAATTGATATTGAAACTTGGTTCTCAAAATTATATAGGTTACTGAGAAGTGGAATCTCTATGCAAGGATGTTGTAATTCCTTTGAATATAATACTCATTTATCCCCAAAACTGAACAACTTGTTGGCTAAAGTACTACAGCCAAATCCCAGTCAATTAAGGAAAACGAAAACAAGATCAACGCTAACAAAACCTAATACCACAGACATTCAAACACTAGTCGCATCCCCAAGTCATCACAAGGACTGCCTTGAGCAACAGGCTTACATTAAGAGTGACGAGTTTAAACCCATCATTCAAATATCTGAGACTCGGACTTCAGCTCCTAGGAATCACACCCTTTAATGGCTGTTTATCAATGGATGGAAAGCAGATGCTATATGACATATTATCAGTCATACCCAAAACATTCGAACCAGCTTGTCATAAAGAATATGGTCATCCCTTCCTGTGTTGCTCTCCAACAGTGCACTTTGCACTAGTTCCTGATGCAGGTAAACAAAGCCATCAATAACCCATAGTGCAACAAAAGCCAAATTATATGACACAAACAACGGTAAAACCAATCTTACTTTGACATCCCTATGAGAAAGAAACTTCCCCAAACTGTGAATAATCAATCTCATGTCTTCCACCTGCACAATAATAATAAATGGTCACTATCACTAGTGTGAGAGAATATATACCAATTAAGTATTTGTCTTACCCTAATATAGCCAACTCGATTCCGGTCAAAAAACCTGAAAGCCTATTACAAGGGAGACTTCCATTAATAAGGCAAGAAAGACAATCCCCACTATATTAACAGGAAAAGACTCGAGGCAAAGGGACATGAAAGTGAATTAGAAAATACCTGCAACACATCCTTATCGGTAACATACACTTTCTTCTTAGGATCAACTTTCTGCTGCTCCTTTCTAGACACATCTCCCTCAGGCCCAGGCTCCATACTAGCGGCTTTTGTGGCGATTTCTGATTTGGTGGGTGCTGCAGCTTCATTCTCAACCTCCTTGTCAGGCTTAGTCTCTGATTGACCCTTCTCTTCATTTTTCTGAGTTACAGTTCTTTGATTGATAAGGATAAATAACAACACTATCATATAAAATTGATTTCACCAAGACAAATTACCCTAAAGACGTGATTGAAATTCAAGGGATGTGTCCAAAAACCCTCGAGTGAAAATAATGTTTAACAAAAATCATTTCAGCTTCCCTGTGCAAAAAGCAGGAAACTTTACCTCATTAGAGGAATTGGGTTGCGGATTTGCATCATCATTTTCTTCATATTCTTCAGGATCTTCCTCCAAATCTTCATCTGCTTCATCTTTTATGTTTGGCTCCTCAACATGATTAGAACTATTTTCTGCCGCTGTGTTCCTTGGCTCCTCAACATGGCCAGCAATAGTTTCTTCCTTGGACACAGTCATTTCAACGTCCAGCTGAGCTGCACTTGATGCGTCTGCCTTAACAGATTCATTTTCCTTCACAGGGAGCTCACTTCCTTTTGATTTTTTCATTGGCGACTTTTTCTTGGTTTCCTCATCATGGATTTCTTCCCGTTGTCTCTTGCGCTGATTTCTTTTGCTCATAAATCTCACTCGCAGTTTCTACACAGTGAAAAAGGATGTCAGTGAAAAACCTTTCTATAGGATTAAAGTAAAATAAGCGATAATCATCATAAATCAACCTGGAGAAATGTTAAAATACGGCAACCCATTTGATACTGAAGCATTTCATACATCGCTTCTGCAAACAATGAAAGCTGCAAAAATGGAATGGACAAAATGTAAATTAAGAAAAAAAAATTTGTTTCAGATGTCAGAGAAAAAAATTGCTTCAGATGTCATGAAGTTATAAATGAAAATCTACATAAGATGGCAATATTAGAAAAATGGAGATATTAAGGCAGAAAGGTAATGAGGAAAACAAAACCTCAAATGTTGATTCTTCAGTGTCCTTATCAGTATAATCCAAAAGTGAATCCAGTGAAAGGGACACTGGTCGCAACTGTAGGCAAACTCATAATTAGACAAATACAGAAAATTATATAGTTTATGAATAAAAACATTTTCCTTCACAAAAGTTCAGCCCATGCTTAAGAAATATCATTAACTTACTTTAGAACCCTTGCTCCACTTTGTTTGAAGAATCAATCCAGGATGTTTCAGAGAAGGTTCTTCAGGCTTCCTCCTTCCTTTTGATTCTTTGTTAGAATTACTCTGGGATTCGTCTTTAAAATCTTTGTCATCTTTTGGCTTCCCCCACTCCTTCAATTGCCCCCCCCTGACATCACAAGTATCCTTCGTGTTAACCTTTTTCTTGTCACTCAGAGACTCTGCATTAGTTAACCTTTCATCCTTTTTATTCTCCATGTCAACATTGATTTCTGATTTACTTGAACTTTCAGCAATACTTAGTTTTTCTGAATTTGAGGTCTCATCACCACCCTGAACCACCTTTTTGTCATCGTCAGCACCTTCATTCTTAATTTCAGCTACTTCACCCTTAGCTTGTGTAGGAGGAACCTTTCTTTTCAGCACCCTCTTAATAATTTTCTTCTTTATAGTTGTTTTCACACCGGCATTCTCTACAGCTGCAGAAGGGGAGTCTGAATTATCCTTTGGCTTATCTTCAGAGCATCCTATTTCTACCTCCACTTTTTCCTCAGGGGGAACACCATTATCTTCACTCTGATCATTTTTACCAGCACTTTCCTTTTTTGTAGTTTTTTTCCATACAAAAGTTTTCATCCCAACATCTTCACCAACCCCGTTGCTCTGTTTGCTAGCAGTATTTAATTCCACAGCTGTCTTAGTTGCAACTTTATGTTTGACAATCCTCTTTATAATCTTTTTCTTCACAGACTTTACAGCACCTGTCCTAGCAGTAGGAGTAGCAGCAGGAGCTTCTCCACTTTCTTTTTTCTCAGGACCTTCAACAGTTATTTCACTGTCATCCTTTACCTGAACTTTATTTTCACCCCCAGTAACCTTTCCTTCAGCTGCACCTCCTTCAATAGAATTTCCATCTTTCTCCTTTTTGTTAGCAACAATTCCGCAACTAGATGATACAGACTGGATTTTTTCCCCAGATTTTCCTTTTTCAGTTTGTTTTGTAGAATCTGCTTCCTTGTCTAGTCAACATACATGAAATATTGAAGTAAAGGGAAAAACTATTGACCCAATTCTTTACTGATCTACCCATAGAATATATGTAAGAAAATGCATAAGATTATGAAATTTGTAAATAATCAATTCACCTTTTGATCCTTCCTTCCTCTCCTTTGATTTCTGAAAGAAAAAAAAATTACATTAGTCAAGTAGGTAACACCTTCACTATTCCTCATTTTATTACAATATATACACATTGAGAAAAATATAAGAAACTAAGGGCACCGATATTTCCATCTTAACACAAAACTGATCAAGTGGTTTGGAATTGACAGTTTCCTTGCATGTAATGCTCAAAGCTATTGTTTGTGCAAAATCTTCAGAAATTTGACACAAGTCCAAGGATCAAGAAGTTTAGCATGCATGACATCCATTTAAGTAAAGCATAACCCAACGTGTGTTTATAAATCACAGGTTCGCATTTCACATTAATAGACTATGCACATGCATAAATACACAGACACATTTCTTCAGACATTCAATTGAGATCAGGAAACCTAACAGAAAGGCCGAAAAAAAATACAATACCTCTCTTTTCAAACACAGCTGGTGCTCCCTCTCGGAAACAGCTATTCTGTGAGCTAACCATTGGGCTCGCCATGTATCTAGTGAAGGAAGGCATTCAGATAAATCTGGAACAAACAGTACTGTGACCTCTTTATGGCTAAACAGCCCATCCTTGCCAATTCTGTCGTAATGTATCTGCAGATAACCAAGAAAGCTCAAAAGTGAATGTAGATTCTTGCATCTCCAAGGAACAAAATTTAAATGAAGATGCAGCAAGAAAAAATAGAATACAACTTCTGAGCTCATCTGATAGGAAATGCCATAATGAATTCTTGCCACCCACTAAACTAGAAACCAGATAAGTTTCGCACAATTCAGTAGTATCAACAAACTAAAATTTAGAAAATTCCATTGTGTTTAAGCAACCATTTTGCCATCATGTATAGTTGCATATTTCCTTAAGTTTTGGCAACCATTTTACCAGCACATAGTTGCCAAGATCAAATAGCATATGAAGAAAGTAGGTAATTTCCCCAAATTACTTTCATGATGAAAACCAGATAAAGATTAGCCGTCCCTGATGGCAAGATTAGCCGTCCTTATGGCAACATGAGTGGCTGGTCTAGACAATGACCAAAAATAACAAATACATAAACCAATAAAAGGGCTGATCGTGGGTGCCGAGAAATAAAAATGTAAAAGTATTTCAAGTCCAATAGAGTGAACATTTTTACATTTAAGCATGAGCAATAGGTTCAAAAAATAAAATAAATGACGATCACGAAGAATTATTTTGATTAAAAAAGATTCAGACCCAAAGCAAAAATGCTTTTATCAGTTTTGCCACTTCATGACAAGGTTTCTAGTGATAATCAGAATGAATAAAAATACCTCAAGGAAAGGATTCCAATTCTGACATTTCTTCAAATCAAGATTAACAACTTCCTTTGCATATCTGTTCAAGTAAAATAATTCTCCAAATAAGAAATGAATCATGATATACATAGCATTCAATTAGAACTGGACAGGACAAACCTAAGGGCCGTTTGAATTAGAGAGAACACATCACCAGCAGGATTGCTGCCATCAGCATAAACACAAGGCCCACCAATTGCCATGAAAGAATGGTCTTTTTTAAGAACAGCAAACCTTAGAATATTGCAAATATGAGGTATGCGGTCATTAGGAACTTTTTCAGATGGCAGCTCTTCCAAAGCACTCCTGCTTAATCCACTCATCAAAATAATCTATACAAAATCACATATATACATTAGTAAAGCATGATTCAAATCATATTTGATATAAATCTTAAACATTCCTATCAAAGAAATTCAAAGGGAAAAGCAGGTGATAGATTTTAAATCATGCAGGAATTATACCCGTCAACTTTACAAAAGAAACCTCAAAGTAATACACTGCTTACTTAAATCAGACTGTACCCCGTCCTTCTACAGGTTCACTGTCATAAAAGTCAAAAAATGATACAATAACTTTGACAACAAGAGAGAATTCTCTTCCTTTCAGCATATGAACTTTCACAAAATGCACTAATCCTTACAAAACTTCCGCACGTTCAAATGAGTTTCATGACGAAATAACAAACTATGGACACGATTACTATATCCGATTATCCTTATAGTGAATTGACCAACATATACCCCTCAAGCTTTTGCTTAATCGTGACAGTGTGGACAACAAAAGAAAACTGTTGGGAAATTAGATTCTATGCAATAGTCCTCTAGATGAAACAAATAAGAAGATCATCTAAGGGTACTTTGCAACATAAGGAATAACATCAAAGTATCAAGTAATTATAAAGCCAATTCAACCAAAATAATAGAATTGTAAGGCAAGCACTGCTGGAAGACAACTCCTATCAATTGCAAGCCAAACAAGAAATACCATTATTTCAAGAAACTCGAATCCAAAGTAGCACATTAGTTCAATGAAGTTGGATTCTTAAAACCACTAATGAAATGGAAGTTACATTAATACCAAAGCAAACATTCAAAGTTTAAGTGCTTTAATCAACAACTCGGTTCCATCATTCATATAATATGTTCAAATGGCTTAAGAAAAACCCCAAAATGAAGAAAAATAAAACTATAGCTTTGCATTGATGCTACATTTTCAAATGACCCACCTTCGCATTCCACATTGTGCTTCCCTGTTCAGGCTTTTCCGATGCAGCAGGCACAAGCTTGCTGGAAAGTTCTTTTGATTCAGCTAAACTATCTTCAATGAAATTATGCTCAAAGCTGCTCCACCCAACAGAAACTAAACTATTACAATTTCATAAAAGCATAAGGTGCAAAATCATTTAGTTGATTTAATGAGGGAGAAATGAAGAAGATGAAATGAAAATGAGGAAGGAAGCTGATTGGGTTCCAAAGCTACTTAAGTTTTGAGAACTAATATTTGGCTGAATTGTTTAATTATTCCACAAAGGAAAAGTCCAAGCTTCATGGAAAACAATGCATTCACATACAAAAAATAATTAATTGGTTACGAAATTAACAGCTCATAGATAAAACACCTACATCTGTGATGACAAGACCCATCATTCTTCAGAAAGAAAACCAAGAAATCAATGCTAGTTGAGATGTCAAAAGCTTATTCAAGTAACAAAGACATCCAGGAGTAATACCTGACATGAGTATGCATGGAGAGCTTAAGATTCTCCTTTGGCCAGTTTATAACAACCTACAATAGTTGAAGATATCTAGTAAAACAGAATATACAGAATATCTAAGAACGCAAATTTAATGTAAAACTGAATTTTGAGAGGAAAAGACCTTTGAAAATTCAGGAGACACAAAAAGTCTTGGGCACCGCTTATCAATTGATAAATAGCCTCTCTCTACATCTGTCAAGTTGGACGAATATACCTGCAAGTAAGTAGAACATTGCTAAAAAGATTAAGAACATTAAGAATGGCATCCATATACAAAAAGGGAAAAAATATCAATATTACAGGAAAATATACTGGAGGTATAAGACTCAGAAAAGTTCAACAAATCCTCTAGAATAGGGGTAAATTTTCATAAATTGGAAACTGAGTTGCAACGAACCACCACTGTTTAGAGCTGACTGCCGATATAAAACCAGGAAGCTCTGAAAGTTTTGAAATAATCTCCATAGAAGGTATACCGTGTTTACTCAATAAGGAAAAGGATAAGAGAATGTGGAAAAGAAAACAACCAAAGAAATTAGAGGATCGAAGAAGAAAATTGAAACCTAAGTAAAGAATCACAAGCGGTGCCCCGAGACAATGGGTCAAACAACACACTCATAAAAGTGAGCAACAGCACATGAAGAATTCTCTAGGTTTAGGAACCAAGCAACAAGCACCACAGGCCATGAGGCAAATAACAACAGGAAGCAGCAGAAGATTTGAATGTCCGTGAAAGAGCAATAACAGGAAGATTTAAGATATAAATCAGATTCCGAAAGGAAAAAAGCAAATTCTTGAAGAAGTTCAAACTATCTTCGGATGGAAACTCTTTCACTGTCCTTTTACCTTGCATAAATAATCTCTCCTTTTTTCTTTAACAGGTGAAAGACGCCTTCAGCAATAGAGAACATGAAGTTAGTTATGAAGACTGAGAAACACAAGGAGCTAAACATTCAGAAGTAGAGCAGGATGGAATGTAAAACATCAAGATCCACCTATGCGAAACTTCACGACGTGGGAATTCTCGCCTCAAATGTCGGGCCTCTTTTGTCAAAGATGGACCACGGTGATCCCTAGAAACTCTCGGCGGAGTTCTTTCTCGCGTAACGTCAAGTGCACGCTTGAACTCTCGTTCTCTCTCCTTCTCCCGCTCTCTTTCCTTCTCCTGCCGCTCCAGGATGCGCAAACGTTCTCGTTCTCGTTCTCGTAGTCGTTCACATTCCCGTTCCCTCTCCCGGTCTTTCTCTCTTTCACGCAAATGATCCCGACGACTTCCTCCTCTCTCATCTCAAATTCCCTAAGGTAACCAGCTCTGTCGTCCTTGCGTTCATCAATCCTAGGATGACCGCTGCGTGATAATGTACTAACAGGATATTCAGACTCGAGGGTCGTGACGTGAAGCCCTTTTGTTCCATAGTCTCTACCAGGTGGTAAGCTCACACCATAACCAGGATTTGCAGAGCTAGGCGGATACGTGAGATCATCGACATTTCTCCTTGGAGCTGCCCCTAATATCGAAGGGGTTTGTCCACCATAAGAAGAAGAGCTCAGCAATGATGAAATGCGAGGATCAGCATCTAATCTTCCCCCGTAAGACACAAGATCTTGGGTGGAATGACGAGTAGCAGCACTCCTTGCTGCAAGATAATCAGCTTGTCTGCCAGAAATGTGTTGCTACTCAGTCTAGTAAGCAATATATTACCATCTAACAAACAGTCAACAGACTATCACCATAAAGGACGAGAAGGTTGGCCTTGGCCATATATCAAATTCACAACGATATTACTACAAGTGAAAATCTGTTGCTATTATGCACAAACATCTTCAACTGGAAATTGTACAGTAAATATTCTAAAAAAGTGATAAATACCTCAATCTACTATCATGAGAGACTGATTGAGATTTGAACAATTGCTCTTGTCGAAGTAAGACAGCTTGATCAAGACGATCATATATGTCAGGCTGTTACAGAAGATAGTAAACATTAAAGATTTAAAACAAAGGAGAACATGTAACAATATTACAAAATGGAGAAGGGTGGAGCACATTTATATCCAGAACATTAAGAAATAGATTGACCTGACGCTGATGCCCAAAAATAGAATCATAATTTCTTCCAGTTGGCTCACTAGGCAAATCCCTCCCCAGATAACCACCCTGTCGTTCTCCAAATTGTCTTCTCTCCACAGTAGGATAGTCAGGAATCTTATCGGCATACATTTGATCACCTTTGTGATTATAACCGTGACTTGATGATGAAATATAATCAGTAGATGCAAATTTAGGTGAATCTGACAGAGTTGAGGCATAAGCATTACGATCTTTCAAAGCTGATGTTCCAGCACCTTTGGAACTTGTAGCAGGAACCTAGTGCGTATAAAAAACCATCAAATTCAAATTCCATTCAATACAATCTAACAATATTTTCCATTACCAAATTTAACTATATTGTGCATATCATAAATTTCCAAGGAAAAGAAAAACAGCATATAGCAATTGAAACCAACCTTGTCCCTGAATATATATGGCAAGTCTTAACAAGTAAAGAAAAAATTGAAGATTTACAAGTTACAAGAACATATACATAGGTGAAGAAAACAGATCCCACTGACCTGCTGAGTAGCACTTAAAGCAACTGTGCCATATATAGAGCTATACTGACCCCCATAATGAGCTGAAACTGAGGGAAGGGCTCTGTACCCACCAATTTCTGCATCTTGAGAACTACCTAAAATTGATGAATGCCGAGAAGACAATGACATTTGAGCTCCGCCATCAGGTCCTCCAACAGAACTAGCAGAATAACCAGCAGCACCCAACTACAAAATTTTGCCAAAAGTTGTAAACAAAATCAGACCCATGATAAGTCTTTAGTTATACCACATGCTATAAAGTGCTATTGCAAGGGAAAATCCAGGAATTTAGACGTGTTGCCAACAGGGAATTAAATAGAAGCCGGGTAGCGGAATAGTAGTGTAGTGGCACCATCCGAAACCACTATTGCTGAAAATAGCTGTGTGAAGCGGAATCAGACCAATAGAGGTGGATCACAGTCACAATTTAAGAGTTAACGGCCAAGTGAGGCAAAAGCAGGCCTCTATTTCAGTTATTGTTCCATTAGGGTAAAATCAAAAAAAAAAAAAAATTCAACTCTGCTATTATCCCGCAATTATTATGTTTTACAATAAGGTAACATTCCTTGCCAGAGCTATCCGCAATGACAGCAATGCAACCGCAATAAACTAAACAGGGCTGACAACGTGGCTTCAACCTCAATTTAAAGTCCTAGTTGCCACGCTTCAAAATCCAATAAATATTTGATACATACAGCTACAGTAAATATTTTGGAGTAATAATTTGAAAATAAAGGGTTAAGTATAACTTTCATATAAAGCAAGTAAAAATTTTATTTGTTTTTCTTACAAAAACAACCAGTCTAACGTTACAAAAAACGTTTCAGAATTAGTTCCATTCAATCCCATCATAATACATAACAAAATTAAAACAAAACCATTAGAAAAGAATTACAAAAGAGGATCTTGAAAGGTATCTTAAACACGAAATAATTAAATAAAAGGCTCACATTTTGGGAGTATCCGGATTGGCCAACGTAGGACTGCTGCCCGTAGGCATTCATCCCTCTGGACGAATACATTAAAACAAATTAAATCTGAAATAAACAACATACAAAACATGTCAATGAAAAATAAAGGAAAATAACAAACAATTCAATATGTTTTGCATATAAGCGCAGAAGCTAGAAAACTATAATCTTTTCAATGAAAATCGGCAAATAAAAGATTAAGAAAGAAGAGGGAATGGGAAATTACAAAAACGATAGGCGAAAAGAAGTTGAAAAAATTAGGAGAAATGCAATCGGTAAACCCTAATGCATAGAAATTGAGAATAAAGGGGGTGACTTTAAAGATTACTTGAAGCTGGAGACTAAATAAATAGTGAAGATTGAGAAAGTAGTCAACGCCTATTTTTTGGGTCAAATTTGTCATTAGGTTCTCTGCTATTTATGAAGTATATCTTTAGTCTATATACTTTAATTTGATTAATTTTAGTTCTTATATTATTTTAAAATTTAAAATTTCAGTCCTAAATCAAACAATTTATACATTATATTGCTAAATTACTGGGTTTAAAATGATAAAATTAGAGAAAGCAGCAATTATTTGAGAAAAGATTGAAATTTTAAGATTTGAAATATACAATACAAAAGACCAAATTAGCTTTCTAATAATACAGGGACCAATTGAATAATTTGAATTTTTTCTTTTACATTTGAAGTGGAGATTCTAATTCTGATATTTCTTCTTTGATGGAATCTCTTTCATGATTTATACTTAAAAAAACATATTACTAAAGGAAGAATGGTTCTTGCTAACTAATCACTGTGGGTTTGTTTTCTTGCTCGAGTGGATGCTGTTTGAACAAGCTTTAATCGGCTGCAGAATTCTTTGAAGTATGCCATATCTATAGGAGTAGCATCTATTGATGATAATTGATAATACACAACTGTCGATTGACCGGGCGAATCAGTGTTCAATGGATATTCATATGTGACTGTCATTGAATCAAATGGTTAAATGCTCGAATGTTGCATGCGTATGTGGGGTAGGGGGACTTTGAAATTTTAGCCTTGTGACATTAGTTTAACTGGCACGAACGGCCCTACTTCCTATGGTGTTATCAGGCTTCCCTTTGCTGCTCCCCATTTGTTTCAAGGGAACAACAACTGATAGGTTACAGAATATGAGATGAGACATGCTGGAGAAATCGTCATGTTTTTTACATCCCACAAAAGCAGGCTTATCAACACAGATACAGTGATCAATAACTCGTTTTAGGATTACATACATACATAAATACATATATATATATATATATATATATATATATATATATATATATATATATAATTAGCGACTTTTGTTCATACAGTATATGAGGAATGCCGAAGGTTCAATGTAGTGAGAATACTTTCACTTTTGCAGATTTTCTAATTTACAGATATTTTACAGTAGACAATCTTTGACAGTTAAAAGAAAACACAATTGCATAACAAACTAAAATCCTAAAATCAGCTCCCCTACAAACCGTAGTAAAGGCAGCACAGGAGCTTTGCATTTTTAGTGCAGCAAAAGACTTGACCATGTTCCAGAATTGCACTTGGAGAAGGGGTTGAAATGTTGGCAAGTTTCTAATGACATTAACATTCTCCTTGTGTTCCCATATTCGGCATTTAATTAGATGGAATGAGAGAATAGGACAAAGCGTTTTTCAGTAGTGGCCGTTGCTATAGCACTCCCTAGTCTTCAGTATGGACTACAGCATAGCGACCCTCTGATCAATTTTGATGTGGTTTCCTTGTCAGATGCTTCACCAGGCCCAAGTGGTCCTAAATTCATACTACTGCTGCAACTAGTTACTAGATGAAGCAGTGTGAAAGATATACAGATTTAAACAAAATACATATGGATTTTCGCTTAGATTCCTGCAAAAAGAAAAAAATCAAAGTGGAAATTAGGCGAATGTTCAGAGATAGTGTTTTGCTAAATTCAGTGTTTTTCATCGGAAACTAATCTTAAATGATATTGCTGTATCAAAGACCACTTGTTATCTTTATCAAGGAGCTGAAATTTTCATCTATGGACGTTAATGGTGATTTTTATTCCTTATCGAACCTGAACTGAAGGACACACATAGAGGAGATGAGTCTTTTATGTCTGGACACTGTAACTTATACGACTGAATGACTGAAATCATCTGCACAGAATCTTGGCTTAAATCTCAGCCTAATAATAAATTTGATTTTCCGTACTGCAGATTGTATAACGAAGATGGACCCTCCACTAGGGCTTTGAATGTTGAATCTCTGTCTGGATAAACTTTATGCTCGTCACATGTGACTGTAGCCAGCTACGTTTAACAATGTGTCCTTTTTTTTTTTCTCACAGCACTGGAAAACAACGAAACATGTCTTCAAAATAAAAGCATTTTTCTTGTGCCTTGTTTGGTTTATCAGTTGACTTCAATTCCTCAAAGTTCGTAATTGTGGTCATGAAAGTGCTAAAGGAACTCTTACATTAGAGATTCAACATTTCCCCTAGAATTTTGAACATATTTTGCAGAACGATATAAGAGCATTTATGGTGATAAGGGACGTCGAATTACAGCTCCTATGAACTTCTAGCAAATAGCTGTTCGGTTTGTGGCAAGAACTAAATCAAATTAACATGTACGTCAACAAAAATATTTTTGAAGTCGTAAACATTCATAATCTCAGTCATAAAAGTGGTACATCTAATTATACAATAGAGATTCGTGATATTTTCATGGGGGATCTCAAATAGGAACAAATACATTATTTTATATTATAGGACGAATTTGAACTAATAAAATTCTAGAATGTCAAACTTAAATTTATAAAATTTTAGATGACGAAAATAAATTTTTAATAAAAAAAATAAAATATATGATAATTTTAAATTTTATTATGGCAAACAACTTCTGTTTGTGGCAAGAACTTACTATTTCCAGTAACCTAAAATCAGTCAATCTAATTATCCAAAAAAAAAAAAAATCAGTCAATCTTAATTTATTAATTGCATTTGTCCCTTTACGAAGAACAATAAAGCGAGTGAAATTGATTGGTCCGAGCTGTATCAGCATTAAAAACCAAAAAAGATGGGATGGGAGTGGGGACATGAGTAGATGCTATGATATCTTTGTACAGAAAGGAAACACTAGTCTCGCTAGACCATGTACGTCGCCTATATCCTTCTATACACTTGGAACCCAAACGGATAATAAATCAAGGCCCTTCAAATTTGGCACCTTAGATTCTGTGAATGCAATATGTTGAAACTTACTGCAAATTGCAGAACACGGCTAGCATTCTTGTAATGGAAATTATCTTATGATTATGAATTTTCCATAAATGCAAACACCAGACAGTTGTTCCATACAATATTAGCATTCAAACATGCTAAAATGAATGCAATGTTAGATTTAAATCATATATTTTTAAGCACATCTGCATGGAAACTTACTTCATAAGGTGATTAGATTAGGCCACATATGGTCTGAACCTCCTCCATTACCGTCAATGCCCCATAATCTTGGGCATTTCCAGTCTATTATCATCATAGTTGTAACATGTAAAAATGAGATAGAATTGTAGCCAATGACAACTTGCCGAGTCAACGTTATCTCCGCCAAAGGTTTGTTTCAGTTTTGTCTTACAAACTTACTTTAGCTTCTCAATAGTATTCCAATGAAAAATTCAAATTTTTGGCGACAAAAATAACTTATTGACTTCATGATAAAAGATTATTATAGATTTTAATCCAGAAAAATACCATAATATATGGACGAGATAAATTAGATGGCCGGCAAGTCATCCTTGGCTGCAGTACTTTACCTCATTTACACGTGCTAGACCGTAGATGAAATCTGATATTGATCCAGCAATGGTGAAACAACTTGTAGTTTTTACTAAACCTAGTAAAAAGGGAGATTTGATGAGCTTGACCCTGTTTTTGGGAACTAAAAGCAGGACCGTAATGCATCGGAGCATGTTTTAGGCAACAAAGCAAATAAGTTCTTAGCTTTGTTCTGCTGAAAAGAAGAAATATTTCTACGGAAGAGATTTTCTTTTATTTGAATACTTTGAAAATGGAGGCTTGATGATATCATTATCCTACAGAAAAGCGTTTAAGAACAATGGGTGCCATATGAGCGTGAATGAGATAGGTATATATATATATATATATATATATATACACATGAAGTCCTTCTGCGAGTGAATGTGACGACTGCATGGGTCCTGCGCTCAGCACAGTAAGCCCTACAGCTTTATTTTCAATCACGTGATAAGAACATAATATGAACCCACAGCTTAGTGTAGTTGATTAATGCAATCACTTTTAAAAACTAACCTAGAGAATTTGCAACCCTCTCTTCTATTCCCGGACTGCCGCTTCCTTTGTACAAGAAGGAAAAGCTTACTTTATCCTATTGAATATCTGCCATACTAGTCACACCCTCAACTTGTTTTTGACGCCTATCCATTGCTTTACCAATTTGACAATTTGCTTGCTAGATCATCATTGTCCAAAATAATCTCATGCTTAAGCTTAAAGTAGTTCACACGCAGATTAATAAGAAGGATTAAATGAAGATTTCCAAAGAGTTAAGGATGATATTACATACGGAGGGCTGGACTAATTAATTATGGTCATCATTAATGAGAATGGGACAATGATGGATATTGGGGGACCATCTGCTGATCTTATGAAAGATATGGGGGCTGATATGGTGACCCCAACTATCATTTTATGGCCACAAATTGAAAGCACAATGGGCGGAAAAAGTTCATTTTTTCCCATAGAACTAATCTCAAACAGAGATTACTCTTGAAAAACAGTAGTAGACAGAATTTGGGCCCTTGTTTCAAACCAGTTGAGATTCTAACCCAACCCAATCCACGTAACAGCCCAACACCTTTACCTCTACCCCACCATGAAAGACATGTTCCCTGCGTATTTTTCAGGCTTCATGTTGATGCTATGGTTAAAAAAAGATTTAGGAGATTGAAGTCGGTAATCAAACCCTTCACTTCTTCTCTTCAAGCTTCCAGGTTGGATCGTTCATCAGGTAATCACCTATACTTGCAACATTCTTTTTGTTAAAATTTTGTATTCTGGGTCTTGCTTATTTTCTACTTCTAGTAGTGTTAATATTGGTTGGTGATCAAAAGCAACTTTGGCTCCAATCTGACCTTCAACTCTGCAACTCATATGGACTTTTTGCTTCTTCTGCTTCTTCCTCCTTTTTTTACAGTGAAAAGCAATTGACTGTAAAAAAATAGCCGCAAATATGTCACAAACTAATGGAGTTGAGGATGTAAAGGAGAAGGAAGGGATGAATGAAGGTGAAAAAATTCAAGACGATGATGAAAAACATCAAATCTTTGGTGAAGAATTTGCTGTATCAAAAGAGCTGAAAGATGCAGATGAAAACGAAAATGTAAAGAATCTGATGCCCTCAGCCAGAGAGGAGGTAAAATGAAAGTAGAAAAAAATTGTCACTACATATGAAATATTGCATGGTGATATGTATATATATATATATATATATTTCAATTGTGAACTTTTCTTTGACTTTTACAGGAAGAAGCAATCAAGAAAAAGTATGGAGGATTATTACCTAAAAAACCAACTTTAATATCAGAGGTTTCTTTGCTTTGACTACCATTACTCTCCTCTGTTATCCGGACTCTTGTTGCATCCAATATGGATATGGACATGTTTATTATTAACAGAGAGTTCGGGTGACATAGTTCTTTCCCATATGTTTACTAAATGGAGAGGTTGCTGACAGAAACATTTGAATTGTCTGTTAGAACCATGACCGTGCATTTTTCGATTCGGCTGATTGGGCACTTGGAAAGGTAAAGTGTAGGTGGTATGGCGTAACTCTAAATTGTTTTGTCTTCTGATACTGAATGGCAATTATGGTTTCAAATTTTAATGTGTTTTGTCACATGTTCAACAGCAAGGAGCACAAAAGCCTAAAGGACCACTTGAAGCATTGCGCCCCAAATTACAGGTATTGTCGTATTGATATGAGTTTCATATACTTTCAAACCAATAAACCAAAGTTAGAAAACCTGTCATTCTCTCAAATGTTTGAGGGTATGATAAGATATGATCATCTCTAGCATTTACGGTTTCCGGATTCGGGTGAGTGTTGAACTGTGTTGGACGCAAGTATGCTTAATATATTTGTGGATCATACTATTGTATTTGTGTTCGAATATATGTTATATACAAATATGTAGTAGAAACGAAGAATTCGTTTGTTGAATTTACTAACTGTTTGTTTTGTGATTCCCAGCCCACCCCACACCAGCAAATGCGTTCAAGACGTTCTGCTTATGCACCTGCAGCAGATGATAATGACGAAGGTAAAGAGTAATCGATTCTAAATTTAAAACAGCTACATGATACATAATCTGACATATACTCATGTCTGACAGTTATATTTAGTTCCTAATAACATGACAATGTCTGGCCCATGTGTTGTTTTGTCTCACAGTTTCATCTTCCGAGGATCAAAGCTGCACATTGGATGGTGACAATGATATTACTAACGCTGCAGAAGAAGACCAGAATAATGGTGATGGATGCTTGCATGAAACATGACCTGAGCCCCAACGATTGATCTTGGTTAGCTTTTCAGATTTAATCGCAACTTTTTGTTCATTGTAAGCAACCGTCGACTGTGTCTGATCACCACTTTTATTGTTGGAGGAGCAATAAAAACAAAGAGGAGAAGGAGTTACTGATTCATTTCCAACATACCTTTTCTATTTCTGTGTAATAAAATTTATGTGTTTGTTCCTACCCAAAGTAAAATTTTCAATTCCTGTTTTAGTGGCTGCTATATAATTTTATGGTCAGCAGTAGGATAGGATATATTCTCAAGTCGCTTTCAAGGAAAACATGTTGGCCCTATTAAATGAGCTTACTAGAGATGTCTAACAAGTTTTAGAATGAGCCAATTTCAAATTTAACTGCAGCGGGCTCTCTATATCTTGTGGTCCAATCTTAAACCGCATGTTAAGGCAGAGAAAAGATCAATATATGAGGTTTGGTTTTAGTAGGAAGAAAGGGATGCGTCCCGGTTCACAATTAATGGCCTTCCTAGTCAGTAGTCACCAGCAACCCATGTCTAGGACCAAAACAGTTCTCTCTACGGCCAAAGCAGCTTACTTAAAATCACAACAACAAATGTGGTATCCTACAATGTCCCACACCGGACCGGTACCGGGGCCCCAATTCCACCCTAGAGCAACACCCTTTTTCTTGTAAAGTACTAGTACATAATAAGCATGAGGTCACAACTCACATCCTTTCATCCTGAGCCCTCGTCTCTGTCACGTAAATATATTTTACGTTTCAAGTTGCATAGTCAGTCACCGATTGTCTTTTTTTTTTTTTGACAACAAGTCTCCAATTGTCTTGTGTGTATTATACAAGTACGTTTCAAGCCCAACAAAAAACACATTTCTTTTGTGCGAAAATTAAGGAAACGGTTAGTACTATTCGGTATGGTGTCTGCTTTGCTTAGCATTCACAAAGGCATGTAGATATTGGTGATTAATAAGTCAACTATTCAGTCTTGCCAAATTATTCTCAAGCTCAACTACCACATGCTTACGTGGTTGCTACACCTTATTCTGTTTCTCCTGTTGAAACTGTAGATATTGATCATTGGTGCACCTAAAAACAGGGTTGTCCTTCAGTGTAATTTGCCTTTGCTTATGGATCGTCGCAGCATCTAGCTCCTTTTGTCTTCTGGAGTTTCTTCCACAAACAAATCATCTCTCTTGGACCTTGATAGTGGGCACCCCTCGTTAAAGATCCTACCTTCCTTCACATACTCAACTTCATAACCTTGTTTCTTCTTATCAGCTACCAATTGCTACATCATCTAGCTTAAATATCTGTTACTCATGACCTTTTTTTGGATCAACACTAAGAATTATCCGCACTAGGTAACACATGTAATGGAAAATATCCTTCTATAACTCACCGTGCTTGCATAGATTTTATAGTGCACACGTGTAGTATTTTGCAGAGCAAAAAATCTGGGTAAAAGGAGAAGGTAAAATATTCATTTTCTAAATAGCATTCCCGATGTCATGGGATACAACATAACCAGGACAATGTGCTATTTAGAACAGGTTATGTGAAGGAACAGGTTCAACAAGGGGCAATTAAAATTACCGTCCTCTTCTAGGGTTGGTAGTCTGCTGAAAAAATAATTCATAAATTTATAATTTTCATAATTAAAAGCAATTGTTAATTATGACTTTTAATTTGGAGGAATACTAACGGTGAGAAAGTGGCAAATGAAAAAGAAAAGAACATAATCATAATGGTAATCTAATTTTAATAAAGCAGCGCACCACGATAAGGAATGCATCGCGAACTTACTTCGTGCTTTCTTTTCTTTACATTTCTTTTTTGATATAAAGAGTAAACTATGCAGATAGTCCCCTATGTTTTCGATTTGACCGATTTTGGTCACTAATTTAAAATTTAAAGGGATAATCCCTAACGTTATCGATCCGTCCAATTTTAGTCCCTAACATTATTCCGTTCGATTTTAGTCCCTTAGATGTTAACTTATGTTCGATTTTAGTCCCTTAGCTATGTTAGAGACTTAATTAAAAGGGGGTTAACAAAAATTATTGACTAAGGGATTAAAATCGAACGGATCGATAACGTTAGAGATTATTTTCCCTTAATTTTTAAATAGATGACCAATGTCAATCAAATCCTAAACATAGGGGACTATATGCACAGTTTACCCATAAACAAATTACAAACTATTAATCGTGTCGGTCATTTTGCATGTTGTTACAAGAAATAAGGGATTCTTTGGGTTTGACCAACAATGAGCCTCAATTCAATCATGCTACCGAAACACTTTCTGAATTTGATTATGAATGTGTCCCATGTACCAATAGAGAAAGATAACATATAATTTCCTTGTACCCTCAGTTAGACCCATAGTTTTTCTAGAAACCATTTACAGCACCAGACTACCACACCTGCGAGTGGTAGCTCGAATGTGAAGATGGGAAAATATCAGAGCCATGTAAATGGAGAAGATCTTGGTTGTTTACAGGTGAAAAGGAGACGCCACTGCCACTGGCTGATGGAGCATGTTGCTGTTGCTGCTGCTGCTGTGGGCGATGAGAAGAATAGGATCCACCCAAGTTGAATCCCGCAGGCCTCCCCATCTGTGCAAAATTGCACACAAGTAGAGGTAATACGTAATGAAGATGATAATCTACTTCTCTAGAAGTTGATGAAAAATAAATAAAAACTCACAAACATGCATTTATTTATAAACGTGGTGACTTAGAGACTCACAGAGAAGTGCTGAGATTGCATCATTAACATGGGATTGTCATGAAGTTGTTCTTTTTGGTGCAAATCCATTCCATAATCAGGATTACCACCTGTAGAATATTGAAAGATTCAAACACCTAATGACTTAAAAAACTTAGAAGTTAGAACAACTCAGAACAAGGAGGTAAGCTATTCAATGCATAGATAAGACTGCCAAAAAATCAGTAGAAAACAAGCTAATATACCGAAATGTCTTAAAACTTAGGTACTAGCTTGAAACTGGATTCAAAAGACATATATAGCATTTAATTCTGTCAACCAGAAAAATACACTAAATTAAAACCCAACCAGAGAATATTCATGCACCTTAAAATCCTGGTAAAGCAGGGAAATCTTCTTTTTAAATGCTGAACTCTTGGTTTTGTTGTACAATGGAACTCGGACCTTGTTTTCGTAATGAACCTTAAAATGTTCAACTTAATATGTTAAAACTTCAGCAACAGGAAAAAGACAAAATGAAATAATCAGTAAGCATCCCAATTGTCCTTAAGGCCCTCAAGCAGAATCAGGACGACTTGTCAACTGAGAGAAGTCATTGTTTATGTCAAACGGGGAATTGTCATTTGAGTTCACATCATTCTGTTGGAAATATGAACTGCAAAACTACACCGTTAGCACTGACTGGAAATATAAACAGTAATTAAGAAGAACAGATTCGTAAACCGTGTCGTGGTAAGAACCACTGCCTTAGAAACGAATTCGCCCCGATGTGTGTAATCGCTGCAGTAGGCGGACCGTCCCCCGAGGTTAACACGGTAGCTCCGAATTCCGTACACCCGAAACCGGAGTGGACTGCTGGTGGTATTGCACTTCTGATCGGAAAGCACTCAGAGAGAACTCACAGAGAGAACTTTAGAAAACACTTTGTAAGTGAATTGTGAATGTATTTGAGAGTGAGTTGAGAAGCTGAATATAGCTCTCTATTTATAGGCTAGAAATAGGGTTAAAATCATCTATAAAATTTCAGGATTAAACCTCTTATTTGTAACAGCTGAAACGTCTAGATGAACCTGACTTAGAAATAATCCAGGTTCATTGTATCATTATTCAGCTGTTATAACTCCCGAAATTATATCATGTAACCCCTGGAATTAAATCAAATAACTTCTGTAACTCCTGATATTAATAGCTTGTCTCCTCTGTACAAAGCTATAAATCAGTCCAGGTACATCTTAACGTTTCTGATTTAATTTAGGAATAAACTGTTTAATTTCTGATAACAAATAATTCAGCTGTTATTATTTGAAATTCAAACAGTCCTCAGCAGCCTATAAATATCAGTTGATATCTTTCATATTTTCCATTTGTTTCTTTCAAAGAGAAATTCCTCAAGAATTTTCTCTAAACAGATAGTGTCCGCGCGGACGTGTCGAAGACACGTATTACCACGACCACGACCACGACCACGACCTCGACCACGACCACGACCTCGACCTCGACCACGACCATGAGCCGAGCCGAGCCGAGCCGAGACGAGACGGACGGACGGCGGCGGCGGTGCGCGAGAGCTCCCCTTGTTCTCTATCACTCAACAAGGAAGTGGAATGTCAAGCCTTAAATACCATTCCCAATAGTGTTTCCAACACTATGTGGGATTGAGCATTACCAATATTCCCCCACTAATGCGAAAGAAATCTTCTGAAACTCGAAAACAAGCTTTCCAGAAGAGCAATAGCGAGATTAGTTGCTTAAGCACTAGTGAACATATCTAGAACTAGTACATAGTGATGATGAGCAATCCTTCTCTTAGATAAGTGAAACTAGTCTGGAACTTTCTAAGATCAGGGTAAACTCATAACACACAACTAACCCCTTCATCCACCTGAGTCCTCGATGTGTAAGATATATATATACAAAAGTATATATTTGGCCATCTTACCTCAGGATTCTAGTAAGTGTGCTAGAAAAATGGCCCAACATTTTTCATAGAAGGCGGCTAACCCTTCTCACTTACATAGGTAATTTCATCAAGTTTATCTCAACATAAACCACCCTTTAAAAAGGAATATGAAATAATTAAGAGCTTTTATAATAGCTCAACCTCACAAAGGGTATGGTGACTTTTTTCAAGTTCATTATAAATGAACCACCCAAACTCTAGGCTAAGAAGTCATTAAGAATAAATATTCAACCTCATTTATCGGTAAATTCAATAAGTCCTTCTCACTAGAACCATCCAAATACTTGGATTTGAATTTATTAAGAGTTTAACAAACTCAACCTTTCTGTCGGTAAGTTCATCATTTCCTACCCACTTACTCTGGGTTATGAACTTATTAAGAATATATATTCAGCCAAAATCGGTAAATTCATCAAGTCTTTCTCACTAAGACCACCCAAAGCCTGGGCTATGAATTTATTAAGAGCAATTAAGCTCATCCTGGGCATGCACATTATTCATCATAGGGATAGGCAATAGGAATGTGCACTATGAGTCTTTCCATGGTTTCGTTTGACCATATGGAACTTAGATAACTAAGTTGGGTATCCACCATGAATTCCTCAACCAATGGGCTTTAGACCCATCCCCCTCGACGAATCTAGGACCAGCTTCCGACTTAACCCTTTGTTAAGCGGGTCTGCTAGGTTCCTTTCCGACTTCACATACTCTAAAGAGAGCACTCCATTCTTTATTAAGTGTCTAACTGATTCATGTCTTATGCGAATGTGTCTTTTCTTACCATTATAAGCTTGGTTCTTAGCCACACATATCGCAGCTTATGAATCACACAATAATGAAACCAGAGGAGTCGGTCTTCCCCACAACGGAATATCTGCTAACAAGCTTCTGAGCCACTCGGCTTCTTGCCCAGCTAGATTAAGAGCTAAAAACTCTGATTCCATGGTAGAACGAGCAATACAAGTCTGCTTTGATGATTTCCACGAGATTGCTGCTCCACCCAAAGTAAAAACATACCCGCTCGTAGAGCTTACCTCATCATTATCAGAAACCCAGTTGGCATCACAATATCCTTCTAGTACCGCAGGAAAGCCAACAAATTCAAGTTTCCAATCCAAAGTACCCTTAAGATATTTCAGTAAGCGTTTAAGAGCAATCCAGTGCTCACCACTCGGATTATGAGTATATCTACTCAGTCTACTCACAGCATAAGCAATATCAGGCCGAGTATAGTTCATTAAGAACATTAAGCTCCCAATTAATTTAGCATATTCAGTTTGGGAAACGCTACTTCCTTTATTCTTAACTAGATGTATGCTAGGGTCATAAGGAGTTCGAACAGGGATGACATCAAAACTGTCAAATTTCTTTAGCACTTTCTCTATATAATGTGCTTGACATAAAGAAAATCCCTTCTCAGTTTTGGTAACTTTGACTCCTAAGATTACATCTACTTCTCCCAAATCTGTCATCTAAACTTAGTGGACAAGAAATTTTTAACTTTGTTAATGGACTCAATATTAGAACTGAAAATCAACATGTCATCAACATAAAGACTTATGATAACACATTCAGTGTCAAACATCTTCGAATACACACAAGCATCCGAACCATTCACAACAAAACCAAAACTAAGAATAGTTTTATGAAATTTCTCATACCACTGTTTAGGAGCCTGCTTAAGTCCATAGAGTGACTTTTTGAGTCTACAGACTTTGCCTTCCATACCAGGTGCTTCAAAACCTAGTGGCTGCTCCATGTAAATCTCCTCATCTAGATCTCCATTCAAGAAAGCAGTCTTAACATCCATTTGATGTACCTACAACTTATGAATAGAGGCTAGTGCAAATAATGCACGAATCGTTGAGATTTTTGTAACGGGAGAATATGTATCAAAGTAGTCTAAACCAAACCTTTGAGTAAACCCTTTGACGACTAACCTTGCCTTGTACCGCTGAATCAAACCATCTGGCCTTAGTTTCTTCCGGAAGACCCATTTGTTGGTGATTGGTTTAAATCCCTTAGGCAAGTCAACTAATTCCCAAGTATGATTAGACATTATCGATTCTAGTTCATCATTAACAGCGCTTTTCCAAAAACTAGCATCGATAGATCTTATAGCTTCTTCAAAAGTTTTAGGATCCTCATCTAATAGAAAAATTTGAGCTATAGGATCTGAAATGGAGTCTAAATCATTTATCTCAGAAATAAAGAAAGTAATAAAGTCTGGTCCAAAAGAGGTTTCAACTCTTTGCCTTTTACTTCTTCTAGGCTCGAAATCAATTTGTTCAGAAGACCTAGCAGGATTACTAGAAGAAGTGGATGGAATATATTCTATTTGTGTTTCAATATTCATTCTCGGTTCCTTTAAAGGAAAAGTATTTTCAAAGAAAATAGCATCCCTTGACTCACAAATAGAATAATCTTGTAAAAGCATGAATCTGTATGCAGCTCTATTCGTAGCATACCCAATAAACACTGCATCAACAGTTTTAGGTCTGATGGTGGACTTCTTAAAGTCTGGCAAACCCACTTTAGCCAGACACCCCCACACTTTCAGGTATTGTAAATTAGGAGCGTATCCTTTCCACAATTCATATGGGGTAGAATCTAATTTCTTATGAGGAACTCGATTCAAGATATGAGTTGACGATAGAATGGCTTCCCCCCATATGTTATTAGATAACCCTGAACTTATTAGTAAAGAATTCATCATCTCTTTTAAAGTTCTATTTTTCCTTTCGGCTATACCATTCTGTTGAGGAAAATAGGGGGCTGAAGTTTCGTGAATTATTCCATTCTTTTCACAAATATCTTTTAAGAAATTAGATCCATATTCACCACCTCTATCAGATCTAACCCGTTTGATTCTCCTATATAACTGATTTTCTACTTCTGCCTTATAAATAAGAAAGAAGTTTTCAGCTTCATCTTTAGTTCTTAGGAGATAAACTTTTGTATATCTTGAATAATCATCTACAAAAGTTATGTAGTAGTGTTTTCCTCCTTTACTTTCAGTGTTTCTAAAATCTGCTAGATCAGTATGAATGAGTTCTAACAATTCAGTCTTTCTATTAGAAACAGTCTTAAAGTGAGGTCTAGTATGCTTAGCTTCTACACAAATATCACATTTGTTAAAGCTAGTTGTGTCTAGTTTAGGCAGAACATTCATATTCATTAATTTCTCTAAAGCATGAATATTCACATGTCCTAATCTAACATGCCACATATCAATGGATTCAACAATATAAGCAGAAGTGGTAGCTTTATTTTCATTAAATTGAGTTTCTATGACAAATAAACCATTGCTTAAAAACCCTTTCCCCACATAATCACCATTTCGGGAAAGTACAAGTTTATCTGCCTCAAAAACTAACTTAATGCCTGCCTTATTCAGAAGCCCACCACTTATCAAATTTCTACGCAAGGAAGGTACATACATAACATTATTTAAAGCCAGAGTTT